TTTTTTTTTTTTTTTTTTTTTTTTTTGCGGTACGCGGGCCTTTCACTGTTGTGGCCTTTCCCGTTGCGGAGCACAGCCTCCGGAAGCGCAGGCTCATGGGCCCAGCCGCTCCGCGGCATGTGGGATATTCCCGGACCGGGGTGCACGAACCCGTGTCCCCTGCATTGGCAGGCAGACTCTCAACCACTGCGCCACCAGGGAAGCCCTGGAATCACTTTTATCTTGCTTACTAATTAAGGAATTTGTCTTGGGTTGAGTTTATGGTATTCAGTTCATTTCTGCCCAAATCTCCTTTTTTCAAAGGCATTACTCTATTATTTTTGGTCATTTTTAAGAGTCACACTTTGGAATTTTAATTTAGTTGAGTTAAATCTGTGCTGTCCAATAATGTAGCCAAAAGTCACATTGGCAATTTAATTAAAATTAAAAATTCAGTTCTTTGGTTGCACTAGCCACATTTCAGATGCTCAATAGCCATATGTGGCTAGTGGCTACAGTATTGGACAGTGCAGATATAAAATACTTTCATCATTGCAGAAACTTCTTGGACAGTGTAGTACTAAATCTTTTTATAATAACTTGGAAACACTCATTGATGTTAGACCACAAAAATGAAAAAAAGAAAAATGTTAGGACGATTTCAGATATGAAAACTAATTGAATTATGATGTAACTAGTATCTTACATTCCTTATGGTTGAATACCTTATGTTGTGACATAATCTTTCCAGTGCTATTCAGAACTACATACCTATCAGCATATGTCTAGACCACGGGTCAGCAAACTTTCTGTAAAGGGACAGATGGTCAATGTTTTAGTAAGTAAGTATTTTAGGTTTTGTGGGCCATATGATCTATCGCAAGTACTCAACTCAGCTGTAAGTATAAAATCAGGAGCCATATACAATATGTAAATTAAATGGGTATAGTTATATTTCAGTAAAACTTTGTTTGCAGAAACTGGCAGTAGGCCAGATTTGGCCTGCAGGCTGTAGACATCTGTTCTAGATTTTATTCTTAGCTTTTTTTTTGCAAATATGAGTATTGTTCCATTTACAGTATTATTCACTTAGATACTTGGTTTTTATATTCTATACCAATAAATGTTTTCTAATCACTGAAAATATAAGAATTTCATACTATATTTGGGTCTCTGAGATTAAGGAGCATCTGTCAGGATATTTTATCAGGGTTACTTCTTTTGACTACCTCTTAGATTTTGGTGTTCTTTACTGGTACAATTATATTGTTGAATTTCATTTTCCTGTATTATTGTAGTCTCTGCTTGCCTGTGACTTTTAGTGAAATGAAATAAGCTTTTGAAAATATTTTAGCATGCTAATTAAAATTTTCTAAATATTATAGCATTTTGGTACATTTTGGTCAATGTAAGATATCTGCTCCTTTGGTGTTTACTACTTGCTTATAATTGAGATTTCACAAGCTCTTCAAGCTCCCTTTTAATGAAATTTATTGTAAAACATCAATTTCAATAAATTAGTATTTTCACAGTTCAATTGCTTATAAATTTTCAATCATTATATTTGGAATTTCTGAAAACTTCATGCAATTTCTGAATAAGGATGTAAGGCTAGATTCTTTTTCCTAAATAGAGAAAAAGCAAATTTTGTGATTTAGCACTTTTCTAGTTGGTAGAATTTAAAATGTTCAATATGTATTTATACTAATAAATTACTAATGTAATTTAAAGTTCTGTATTGTGATTAATCATATGGAAATTCAGGAACTGATCAGAAGTGAGAGTCTTTTCCACATCTGGTTAGTGTAGTGAGATTGACACCCTGTGGGTGGTAAAGCATTATAAATATTCACCTTGAACCATGATTTATACATGTCTGTGCTGTGAGGCTTGAGTGCATATACCGGGGAAGAGAAATTCAGCATTTATCTCTCTGATTGATAAGGAATTGAATGTCCCAGTGATTATAAAGTAAAACCACAGACCAATTTGGGAATGATCTTTAATTTTGAGTATTTGCTCTAAGATTAATAAGTATTCCTTTACCTTTTTAAAATAAAAGTGTGTACATATGACAATGATGTTTATCCTCAGCTTAATGTATTGTGAAATATTTGACGTTCACTCTATTTTTTTGAATAAGGCTGTTGAACTAATGATTTAATATAGATTAAGAACTAATGTCTTGTCTAGAAACATTAAACTGAGTAGCCCTTACTCAGATGTCATCGTCTTTGATAACTGGAGCGCTCATTTGAATGTCAAATAATGCTTCTGCATCTACACCTGTTGCTGTATAGTGGCACATGTGGCCCAGTGGGTTGGCTTTTAGGCCACAGTACTATCTGTTTTAGGTTCTCTATATGTATATTTAATGAGAAACATTCCTATGTAAAAATGTGTGTATATGGTTGTATGCATACATTCTTGTTGTGAACCTGTACCTTGCAAAGAAGTAGTTTGGAAATTTGTAAAGCACAAACATAAAAGGAAATCGTGTGCAGTTATTAAACTTGATGGAGCTTAAATGTAATTTTTAGTTTATAAAAGGTTCTTTCTATTTTCTATGGCAAAGACTTTGACACTTGAAAAATAGAAGCAATACTTGATTTATTTTTGTATTTAGTATATTATTTTAAATAAATGATTGTCCAATAACAATACTTGTCAAATGTTTTAAAGTAAAAATTTCTGATTCTGTGTCTGATATGATGAATTTTTAGTGGGTACAAGTGCACATTTGTTGCTTTAAATAAAGGACTTAAATATTTAGATTGGTAAAGAAAAAATTCTAATTTTTTCATTTGTTTTTGTGTGTGTGTGTGTGTGTGTGTGTGTGGTGTGAATGATGTGTAAAAATGATTTTTTGTTGTGCTCTTTTATATCTCCAATTTGCATTATCATGGAATCCAGAATATTTCTGGGTTTTTTTTGTGTTTTCTTGGTAAAGACTACGACTATATCAATTCTTTCTCCCCTTCTTCCTTTAGCAATAGAACCCCATACCTCAGCTTGTTATATTTACCATGGGGTGGGGGAGTTAGTTAGATTAACTACTTGCCAGATTCCCTTGTAACTAGGTGGGGCCATTTAACCAAGTTCTGGCCAAAGAGATGTGAATAATAGTGATGTGTGCCTGCCTGTTAAAAGAATGGGCTGCTTTCCCTAGCTCTTCTCCCTCCCCATCTGGAATGCCATGTGCCTGAGGGCAACCCTAGTGGAACAATAAGGAAGAAGGCACTTGTATCCTGAAATCATCATTTAGTCGTATCAGCTGTGGACTTCCAACCCAGATTTCTCTTAGTTAAGCATTTTTTAAAGCTGCTTTATTTGGAGGTTTCTTTCTTCCAGTACCCCATTTCCGAATCTTACACAGGTTTTTCAAAATGAGTTGTGAAGTTTTTAGAAAAGTGCAGGTGTTTCATGTTCTTGGAACATGTCTTGGAAAGGTTTCATTCTGTTCATGTTAATGGATGCTCAATAAATATTTGTTTAATCACATGAAGTTAGTTAATGTGTCAGTTATGGAAAGATGATGGAGACAGAAGTGAAGTCCTATCTCACTCTAGGTAGATCAACATGATCCCAAAAGACCATGATTCTACTAATTTGATTTTCTGAACTATACAATAAATGCTGGCCATACATTATTTTGTGACTAGTTCACTAAGAACAACCCAAAGTTCTAGACCTGCACTGACCAATGTGATGGCTGTTAGCCACACTGGTTATTAAAACAAATTTAGATTTTATTTCCTCCTTCTAGCCACATATGGCTAGTGGCTCTGATATTGGACAGTGCAGATTAAGAACATTTCTATCATCACAGAAAATTCTATTGGACAGCTCTACTCTAGATGTCTAAATTAAATGTACACATTCTACAGCTCTCTGAAGTTCCATATTATAGGGGATAACAAATGTAGTGAAGTGAAACTTTCACGCATCACCCTGCACACAGTGACATGCTCAGGGATAGAGCTACAGTTGGATCCTTAATCTGGCTATGGTTTTGATGGTGACGTGCTCCATTCCCTTGCCCACCTGGGCTGCAGCAACTTGCTATCAGTAAGTGGTTAAAAGTTGCAAGTTAGACCTCTTGCCTCTTGCTTCAACTCAAACATTCCCCTCTTCCGAATAAATTCTTCGGGGATTTCTCAAAAAAGATGAGATACATTTTTCTAAAACTTTCAAAGTCTTTGTCTTAGCGACCTTAATGTGATCTACCTTTGTTTGTTTTTAATGTGTCTGTCTTGCTACATGGTTTCTTGAGGTCACCGGCCTTACTTGGTTCATCTCTGCTTCCCTCACAACACTCAGCACAGTATCTTCTACATAGTTAGTAAATATGTACTAGCTGCATTAGAATTGCTGATGGACACAATGTTTTCTTTAGAAATCCAGTCTCAAGATGCTCTGAAGAGATCAGGGTGTGCATTGGAAGGAATATCTGAATAGGCAAAAGATCTTCCACCCATAGATTCAATAAACTGCTTCACATGTATCAGTACTTCTGAGAAAAATCCAGAAGCTAG